ATCACCTGCCATTGTTCAGAGAATGAGCTAATTCGCTGAAAATTGTTTTGTTTCTCTCTAGCAAATTATTGTATGGATTGGCTAAGAAATTGAGCTCTGAATATTGTTCAAACAACAGAGATAGAGCACAATCTGTATATACATTGAACATTAAGCTAGAAGAATTCTTAGCTAATCCTTGATGAGACATTGGTGTGCTGAATGATCTCTGTTACCCACCATAATTTATTTATTTTATATGAAATATGCATGCTTGTATGTGTTGTCCCATTTTAGTACTTGCAATGTCATCTTCAATTTTGTCATAAATTAGGATTTTGTTTAGTTATAAATTTTAGGTTCTAATATGGTGCCTGCTACTCCTTTTGACCATTTTTGCAGGTCAGAGTTGAAACAAACCTACAAGACAGAACTCAGCTCTGGATTAGTCCTTCCGGAGCTGAGTTATTTTACACCAGTTTACCCCCTTTTAGCAGCTGCCATTATCCCTGGTACTCCTTTTGACCAGTTGTTAGTTGCCGTTATTTTACATCAGTTTACCCTCTTTTAGCACAAAGGAACAACTCATTTTCTCGCTACTCCTAATTTTTTATTGTGCTAGGAGGAGAATTGGTTCTCAGACCACAAGAACCACATAACAGCAAGGGTTATATTCAGGTTGAAATATCTCCATAGACAATCTAACATGTACAGGGATGAGTAAGAGATGAAAAACTTCAATTGAAAGCACCACAAAGGTATCTAAGCAATGATAACATCACTTGAAGAACATCCCTTTTATTTCCCTAATTTTTCGTAGGTTAATAACATACAGCGTAAATTTCAATAACTTACAACATAAATATCTTTTTATATGTAGTCTTTCATACTTAAACGACAACACATGCCTTACAAGATACTTCCTTGTTTCGTCCACTATTCTTCGTGCAAGTATCAGGTTCGGTAACATACACACAAGTAAAAATGCTCATTGTTTTTCTCCGTGCCCACCATGCAAAAAAAAACAAATGTGCCCCAACAAGATAATTGCCTCCTTTGCTTTCCCATAGCATCCTATGCGCGTTGTAGCTCTTTGGTCCAGCCCACAGCGCCGCGTTATGTCGCTTGTTTTTGGAGGACAGTTAAAGGGAATTAGTTCCTTCTGCTTCTATATAAGAAAATATGATAGCCATAATAAATCCTATAAGATTAATACTGCAAGTCCATAAAATTTAAGCATTACTGGGTTCTTTTCGGGACATTGTGGCTTTCGATGGCCTGGCAGCTTGCACTTGGAACACGTGACACGGACGCCGAGACAAGCACGTGACACCACTACCATCCTGTCTAGACGAGCACGTGACACCACTGCCACCCTGTCTATATTAGGGTAACGCGAGTCCACGCGAACGTCGTCGTGGTAGCAACAACGGACGCCGAGACGAGCACGTGACACCACCGCCTCGAGGTGGACGTCATCGAGCACGTCACGCCAAATTCACACAAAAAATGTTCGTGTTTTAAAAAAATTGACGGAAATTTCATAGAATGTTCTTGTTTTCCATTTTTTTTTCACAAATTCAAAAGTTGTTCATTTCTATAAATATGTTCTTGCTTTTCTTATTAATTTTTTAAAGCTTGTTCGTAGTAGATCAATTTAATGTCGATTCAACCGAAAAGCAATGGATCAATTTACTTCAATACGCCAATTTTTGTTAACAAAATTATGTTCCTGGATAGTAATTATCGAAAGGGAATAGAGGGATAGGCTAATTTTTGTGTGTGTAAAAGTAGCAATTCGTTTTAGTTTTTTTAGGCAAAGCAATTCGTTTTCGTTTCCGTTTTTTTGGTTGAAAGTGCTAGTTCATTTCAATTAAAAGTGAGATTTCCCACCCATTACTGTCCCTGAAAAACCGCTGGCCCAGAAAAGGAATGGGCGGAATAGGTAATACAGGCCCAAAAGAAAAAAAAACGAAGAAAGGGAATAGAGCCTAGGTGCGGTATTGGGCCAAGGCTGGGCCAAACTCACGAAAGTGGAGCGCTCAAGGCCGGGATCGATCGCGAAGAGGAAGAGAACGAGGGGAGCTGATCGCTAACTTTGTAGTTTGCTGTCGAGATAAATACGTCATTGAAGTTAAGGTCAAAGCACAGTACGGTCACTAAAATTCAGAATACGTTTAATACGGTCATTGAATATGAGGTACGATGATTATACGGTCACTGACTCACCGTATAACATCGTATTTTGTCTGGTTGACCGGTCAAATAGTCTACTTGCCGAAAAGCAATGTCGATTCAACCGAAAAGCAATGGATCAATTTACTTCAATACGCTAATTTTTGTTAACAAAATTATGTTCCTGGATAGTAATTATCGAAAGGGAATAGAGGGACAGGCTAATTTTTGTGTGTGTAAAAGTAGCAATTCGTTTTAGTTTTTTTAGGCAAAGCAATTCGTTTTCGTTTCCGTTTTTTTGGTTGAAAGTGCTAGTTCATTTCAATTAAAAGTGAGATTTCCCACCCATTACTGTCCCTGAAAAACCGCTGGCCCAGAAAAGGAATGGGCGGAATAGGTAATACAGGCCCAAAAGAAAAAAAAACGAAGAAAGGGAATAGAGCCTAGGTGCGGTATTGGGCCAAGGCTGGGCCAAACTCACGAAAGTGGAGCGCTCAAGGCCGGGATCGATCGCGAAGAGGAAGAGAACGAGGGGAGCTGATCGCTAACTTTGTAGTTTGCTGTCGAGATAAATACGTCATTGAAGTTAAGGTCAAAGCACAGTACGGTCACTAAAATTCAGAATACGTTCAATACGGTCATTGAATATGAGGTACGATGATTATACGGTCACTGACTCACCGTATAACATCGTATTTTGTCTGGTTGACCGGTCAAATAGTCTACTTGCCACTTAGGACAGCACTGTGTTGCGTCCATACTTCTATGGGTCTCACGTGTCAGTGAGTATAAAAAGCAAAACGAAGAAAAATGATTTAATTCGTGGGGTGCAGAGTCGAACTTGAGACCTAACGATCGTAAACATCGCGCCGCTAACCATCCGCGGCGTCGTAATTTTGTGTGAGTAAGTCGAGGACCGCCATTTAAAACTAAACATAAGCTACCATGTTTTGACACTATCTTAATCTGTTTTTTTTGTTCCGACATGTTCTCTCTGTGTAAGTTTCCTTTTGTTGACAACACATGCGAGCATGTTTTTTTTCCTTTGTTTGGTTTTGCCGTGTGTGCACGTGCGTACATGTTAATGTGTGTTATCTGTGATTTTTCTCTCTCGTTTTCTGCTGTGAGCATGTAATGTGTGCATGCGTGCTGCGTGCGACCTGGACGTGATGCTCCGTGGAGACGAGAATCAGTTGCGTAGTTGAGGTGGGCCACCTCTTGTTGGCGATAGACCTCCTCCCGCGCCATGCTCGACAAGCCGGACAACTTTGTCGTGTCGACTGATGCCATAACGCGCCTCGCCGTGGTCAAGCCCTTCATCGCTCTCGACACACTCAAGTTTTTCTTTTGCTCGCTGTGGCCGACGTTCTCTGCCTGACATGCTCGGCGTCGATGTGCTCCTGCATGTAGTCTCACTCGCGCAGGGGTCACTCTTGATCACCTGCCCAATCAACCCCTCGAAGAACCTCATCGCCTTGCCACCATGGCCCTAGCTCCCGCCATGCTTCTTGTGCCTCATGCGTTGGTTGTCTAGTCTTCTCTCCACCCGAGTCCAAGAAGCTCTCGTCGTCCACTGTCGTGTGCATTCCACAAGCTCTAAGGCCAAGACCGCGAGTGCCTTCTGGAGCAATGCCGACAAAAAGGTGCTGCAACAGATGGCGTAGGGCGCTGTAGGATGACGAACCGGACGTCGGCGCACACCTCCATGCACATTGTGCGTCGCATCAGCCTTCTCGAGCAATGCCGAGCGGTTGTGCGGTGCGTTGTGTACGTGCGTGATGTGCATGCTGTCCTTGCGTGTGTGTGCATGCATTGCTGTTTATATTAAAAAAGAATGGTCTACATGCAACCATCATTGGTCTGAGTTGTTAGCCATGTTGTTACTAACCGAGGGATCTCGGGTTCGAATCTCTTCTCTCGACCGTAGTTCTTATTCTTTTATTTATTTATTTCACCAACTGACAAGTGGGTCCCGCCGAACAGAGAGAGCATGTAACGATGACCAGGACTATTTGACCGGTCAACAGTGCCATACGCAGGGGCGGATCTGGGCCCAGGGCCCAGGCCCGGGGCGTGGGAATTCTTTTTAGTTATTACCTATGGGCGGGCTTAGCCCAACAACATCCAGCCATCCACCGGGCGCGCATCAGCACCGAGCCACCGCTCGCCGCATCGCCCTGCACACCGCTCGCCGCCTCGCCCCAGACCTAGATCGACGCAGGCAGCCGCCGCCGCCGCCCGCCCGTGATTCCCCTCCGCTCCAGCGCTCCACTGCTAGCCTACTCCGCCGTTCCCCACCTGCAGACCTGCTCGCCTGCTCCGCGGTCCGCACCTCCGCCTGCTCCTCCGCCCGCCCGCGCCCTCCGCCGCTCGCCGGCTGGTCCCCTGCTGCTCAGGCCTCCGGTGCTCGCCGGCTCGCCGCCCCGGCTGGTCCCAGCCAGCCCTCCCACCGTCCCACGACTAAACGCAGTACACAGGTACCGTTATCAACATAACCCCAAATTTCCCAATTTCTGACTCAAACCTTATAATGAATGATTCATTTCCTGTTGTTCCGTTATATGATTGATACTAATGCAGGGACTGATAGAATGCATTCTTTTTCTTGTAGAATTGGCATGTACTGCTAGGTAGGCTTCTCTTATGCAAAATTGAGACTTAATTTTTTTTTGACCTGAAACTGAGACTTAATTGAGAATTGTAGTGTCTTTGTAAGACCATATTGATTTATATCACGTGCTATTGGCAAATTAATTAGAACGTTTACATGTCATACTTGTCAACTTTTTTAGGTGGACCACCCTGTTTTAAATTCCTAGATCCGCCACTGGCCCCTTGCTGTACATATGGACGGAGAGCGTGTGGAACGGGGAAGCCGCCACCCTAAGAAGAAGGGGAAGCATCGTCATGAAGAGGGGAAGGCAAAGGATAAGTCGAAGCGTCACAGAGACAAAGAGGCAACTGGCACTGATGTGGCTTCAGATATCCGAGAAAACGGCAAGGAAGAGGCTGTGATAGGCATCGCGGAGGAGGGGGAAGGCCGCAAGAGCAAGAAAGGGAAGGGCCGCCATGAGGAGAAGAACAAGGTGAATGTTTCAGTCGTTTCCGGCAGCATAGAGAACGGTGCTGGTGAGGAGCAGGCCAAGAAGTCGGGCTCAATGGCAATGAAGCCTTGTTCGGAGGGTGCCACGGACAAAGTCAATGTGAAGAAAGACAAGAAGAAAAAGGATAAAAAGAAAGAGAAAGAAGCTGAGGCGACCGAGCAGAAGCAGAGTTTTGATACTACTGTTGGTAAGGAGCAAGCTGAACCTTCTAGCTTGATGGCGGTAAAGCCCCGTGTGGACTTTGCCGAGGGTGATACGAGCAAAGACAATGTGAAGAAAGACAAGAAGAAAAAGAAGGAGGAGAAGAAGGAAGAGAAAGAAGCTGAGACGACTGGGCAGAAGCAGACATTTGACACTACTGTTGAAAATTCAGGGGCAGAGCCTACAGAGAGAGACACGGTTGACGGAAAACAGTCTAGCAAGTCAAAGAAGAGCAAACGTAAGCATAATGATGGTGCACCTGCCGTAGAGGTTTCTGCTGGCGATCAAATCGTGACAAGGGAAGATAAGAAGAGAAGGAAGGAACCAGTTGTGCTGGAAGCGAGCAACCAAACCCAAAACACAAATGAAGGTGAGAATAGAGAGATTAAGAAGAGAGGAAAGGAAAGCAGTAAAGCCAGTCCAGACTTTAGTGAGAATGCATCTGCTGGGGGAGAGGAAGCTGGTTTAGGTGTTAATAATGATAAGAAGAAAAAGAAGAGCAAGGGGATTGGAGGAGGAAAAAAAAAGAAAGAAAAGGCAGCTCGGTCAACAAAGGGTAAGCGGGTGAGTTCTGCTGATTCCGTGGAGATGTTTAGAACCGAAGGTGGTGATGGTGATGGGATTGGAGGAAGAAAAAAGAAAGAAAAGGCAGCTCCATCAAAGAAGAAAGGCAAGCGAGTGAGCTTTGCTGATTCTGCGGAGGTGTTTAGCATCGAAGGTGGTAATAATGAAGAGGATGTCAGCAGTGATGAATCTAAACGTGTGCATGGTCGGTTTACCCCAGAGGAAGACGCCACCCTCATGGAAGCTATGAGGGGTTACGCAGAGGTTGCATCTCTTGCTTTAAATTTTGCATTCATGTGAAAATGAGCAGACCTAAACCGAATGGAAGCTATGCCCATGGCATGTTTTTGTGAGAAAGGGCTGATTCTATTTTATAATGTAGATGGATGCTTTTTCTTTAACTTAAAATGATTGATTGCAACCATATGTTATTTTAATTTGATCCAACCTATACATGGAACTATTGTCATTTGTTTTAAATCACAGCATATCGATAGAACATGAACTTATTACAGTTACTTACTACTTATAGGTGCATGTGTTATGTATGGGTTTGTATAAAGCACTCCAGCTGATCATTTAATATGGAAGTTTATTGTATCGAATCGAAGTGTTCTATGACGAACGGAAGTATGCTTGTCCTGTAAATAAAATGTTCATTCCCTTAGGTGGGAACTGGCTGGGAGAGTTATCAGGAAGTTCCTTATGGTGGTTGGAATTTACAAATAATTGAATATATATATTTTCTGCATTACTATATTTTCTCCATTGTTTTTTAACTTATGTACTTATTTTCTGCATTGTCTTTACTGTTAAGAAGTATTTTCCAATGTGATTTAGTTGAACTTCATCTTGCTGTGAATTTGTAGTTTGAGTTTTAATATCAAGAAAATAATTAAATGCATGAATATAAATCCTCAAGTATATCTTGAATACTAATTTTGCTCTAATGTATGCTAAATTAGCATCCACAATGGTCTCATTTTGAAGTTAAATTATTTTGGATTTTGCGCATATTGACTAATATTCTATTTTGCTTTCTGCCTACCCTTCCTTTATCCATTAATGTTATATTGTTTTCTTTTGTGTGCTCGAGTTTTATGTGTCGACTTTACTTTTTCTCTTTACCAGTAAATTCACTTGTGATTGCAAATGCCATGCCCAACATATTTGAGAGAGTTCTCGTTGTGTTTCTTATTTTAGATGAAGCAACTGGGGGAGAAAGGTTTAGAGATGATTGGGTCTTGTCGTAAATACCCAGAGCTCAAGGGTTGTTGGGATGATATAGGTAATCCAAAATAAAATAAAATCTGGAGCTATGTTCTTCAACGTTTCCTCCTCATGCTCTTCGTGTGTTAATGTCAGTTAAGCATGTAACCTTTATGAAAAAGTCTTTATTAAGACCCACCATCTCACGTTGAATTTCCAAGCAATCAACATTCCATCCCTTTTTCTTACCTGGATTGCAGACAACTTATAATATTTAATTGCTGATGCACATTCTTTGCAGCGAAATCGTTACCCCATAGACCTTACTTGGCGATATACAGGCGAGCACATACATTACTCTATAGGAGCACCGGATGTAAATGGACACATGAAGAAAAAGAGCAGATTCAGCAGTACGCAAATTCCTTTTGCTGAGACAAAATTATATCTGCACGACCATATTTACTCAATTGTCTTTAGTATTAAGACGTAATCGTATTGTTATCTAATGTGATTAAGTTGAACTTCATGTTTGCTGCTACTTTGTAGTATGTGTTACAAATCTTTACTCCTATTGAAGATGTCAATTGGTGACAGTGTCATGTTCGCCTCTTTCTCCCTTCCTGATGTTTATACCTTTTCTTGGTGGTTATGTGTGTCACCATAGTTTGATAAAACAACATCAACCTGCATGTGCCACTAATGTATATTAGCAAATGCCTTTAGGTAGTCTAATTTTTTTATCCCAATGTAACTTGTTACTCTGTTTGATACTTTTTGCAAGTCCTCCTTGTGATCTCATAGCAGAGCTACCTGAGACATGGTTCGTTGGGTTCATGGTAGAAAATAAGGTTCTCCCGTCAGACAGTTCACAAACTGAATTCCAGTGCATGGACTTTGACTTCCATGCATTAATTTTGCTTTGCAGCTAATAAATTAGATTATGTAGGGGTAAAAATTGAAAAGTTAGGTAGGTGCTTGTTGGGCGGGCCTGGCTCCGTCGCTTGAAGTAGATGGAGTAACTAATGCAAAATTTCCATGTCACCGGTTATCAACTGCCTCATGGGCTTCTTGTCGCTGCTACCACTGTCCCAATCTGTTTACTTTGACTCAACCTAGCAGCCCCACTTCCTTCAAATGGCAGAGGAAGGGGGATGAGGATATGCTTGGTTGACAGGGAAAACAGTGGTCTGATCTGATCTGTCTGACATTGGAGCAAAATCTGATGGTGACAAAGGTTAGTTGCATTGGTGAGGATGGTGACTGGTGTAAACCTTTCACGGCGTCATCACCATCAGAATGCATCACTGTTATCAATTAAGCATATGGGATTGGCAGTCCCCATGAATCATACTGTGCACCAACCAATGCCAGATCATTAGCCAATCATGAATGAGATTGTGCGGTTGATTACTGTTTGCCCTGCCGTGATTGTGATACCATGATTTAGATTGAAGCACTTTCTTGATATTCGTATTGAAAAATGTTTTGATATGTCCTGTTGTTGCTTCACATGATTAAGATTAGATCATTGCATTATGACGCAGGTTTGTCGAGAAAAATGGCACAGATTGGAAAACACTGGCACAGGAACTTGGAAAGAGTGAGATCCATGTAAAACATGCTTGGAGAAGAATAAAACCTAAGAAGAAAAAAGGTGCCCGTTGCTCCTAAAGTTCTATCATATTTTAGCTAATACATTTGTCGGAACTGTAATATTTCAGCACTACTTTAACATGTATGTTCATTTTAGGATGTTTTTATTCTTCGGGCATAGTTTTTCTTGCATCATTTTGTCACAACTCAGGCAAATTTGTCATGTTAATGGTAGTAGTTTAACCCTGCTCTGCATTCTACTCCCTCCATCCCAAAATGTAAGACCATTTTTAACATTATGATAGTGTCAAAAATGATCTTATATTTTGGGACGGTGGGAGTAGTTAAATATTTGGTGCAGGTATGTCATGTGCAACAACAACAAACCTCACATATTGGTTTGCTCCAATATTGAAATTACTGACAAAAAAAGAGTTGAAACAACACCATTTTGAGTTGGGGGCTAATACCATCACAAAGTGTGTTTGTAGATGATTATTTATCCAGTTTTGAGTTGTTGACTATCAGTTAAATGCAAAGTTTGGTCATGAGATAAGCAAGGGATGATTGTATTCTTGGTAATGGAGCTTCCCTATGGAAACAATATGTCCTACCCAGTGAATGCATTATCTTTTTTTGGGGGTGAAAGTGAATACATAATCATCATGTGATAAAAATTATGCATCCTACCAAATTAATGCAGCATCATCATGTGATAAAATTTATGCATCCTACCCAGTTAATGCAGTATCATCATGTGATACAATTTAGATCTTCTTGCTAACCTTTTCTATTCCGTGTGCATCCTTTGACTGGTTATTTTTTAGGTGCTGATGATGAAGAGGATGTCAGCGGTAGTGAATCTGAACTTGTACATGGACATCGGTTTACCGCAGAGGAAGATGCCATCCTCATGGAAGCTATGAGGGATTACGCAGAGGTTGCATCTCTTGCTTTATATTTTTTGCATTCATGTGACAGTGAGCAAACCCAAACTGAATGGAAGCTATGCCCCTAGCCTGGGGGTTTGAGGAAAGGATGATTGAACTTTATAATTTAGATGGATACTTTTCTTTAACATAAAATGATTGATGACAACCATATGTTATTTCAACTTGATCCCATCTACATGTGGAACTACTATCAAACGTGTTTTAAATCACAGCATATCGATGAAACATAAACTTGTTATTTACAGTTATTACTTATAGGTGCATGTGTTATGGGTTTGTATAATGCACTCCAGCTGAGCATTTAATATGAAGTTTTTTTATCGAGTTGAAGTATCGTATGACCGAACTGATTTATGCTTGTCCTGTACAAATGAAATTTTCGTTCCCTTAGTTTGAGAAGTTACCAGAAAGTTCCCTACGGTGGTTGGACTTTACAAATATAGTTGAATACATATTATTTTTTTGCATTACCATATTTTCTCCATCGTTTTTTAAATATATTTACTTATTTTCTCCACCGTCTTTAATCTTTACTGTTAAGAAGTAATCATGTTAATTTTCCAGTGTGATTTAGTTGACTTTCTTCCTGCTGTGAATTAGTAGTTTGAGTTTTAATATCAAGAAAAATATAAATGAATGAATAGAGATCCTCGAGTATATCATGAATACTCATTTTGTGCGAATGGATGCCGACTTACATCTAGAACTTCCTCATTTTGAAGTTAAATCATTCGGAAAATTTATGCTACATATGTAGGGAAAAGTGCTCTCCCATGCGATGGCATCGCAATGGGGTTTTCCTCTAATAGATAGATGGAGAGAGAGAGAGAGAGAGAGAGGGAGAGGGAGAGGGAGAGGGAGAGGGAGTCTCCCGCCTCATGCTGACATCATCACATTAACTGCCAAATGATTTATTTCACATACCGTTCATCCGATTGATGATCCGTATTCGCCGGCGAGTTCGTCTTCACGAGGGCAATTTTTTAGCAGTGTATAGTTACCAGGCAATAATTTTGTATGTTTTTAGACATCCACAATGTTATGCAGAGCTAGAGAGTTACTATTCAAGTGTTAACAATAAGTATGAACTGGTATGAACCCGCACAAGTACCATGAAGCAAGTCTTCTCGTGGCGTACAATGACGTTCAACAACATCGCAACCAAGTTAATTTAATCTGGCAACTAAGTGGCCAATAACCTGGCAAGTAAGTAGCACCAACCTGGGACGCTGTACTACTCTTCTTTTCAATGAAATGAAACACAAAATCTTTTTTGCGTTTTCTCAAAAAAAAGAGAGAGTAAGTAACACCAACCTGGCAAGTACGGATGAAAAAAGAAGTTGTCAAAATGAAAAGTGGATCGTCAATCGGGTTAACGGTTTGAGGGATAAAACTTCTTCAAAATTGGAACTTGAAGAAATCTTTGCTGATATCAGCTTATGTGTTATTTTTACATGCATGCAAGAGATAGATGAGGCTGATGCCCTGCATGGGAAGGACTTCTTCAAATTTGAATGTGAAGAAATCTTTGATGCTGTCAGGCTTATGTGTTATTGTTACATGCATGCCAGAGACAGACGAGGGTGATGCCCTGCATGGGAAGGCAACCATGCGGCACTGCTCTTAGTTCAGTCCTAAATTATTTTGGATTTTGCGCATATTGTCATACTAATATTCTATTTTGCCTTCTGCCTTCCCTTCCTTTATTCATTAATGTTAATTTTTGTGTGTGTGCTTGAGTTTTATGTGTTGATTTTACCTTTTTATTTACCACTAAAATGCCATGCCCAACATATTTGAGACAGTTCTTGTTGTATTTCTTATTTTAGCTGAAACAACTGGGAGAGAAAGGCTTAGAGATGATTGGCTCTTGTAGTAAATACCCAGAGCTCAAGGGTTGTTGGGATGATATAGGTAAGCCAAAAACCTGGAGCTAAGTTCTTGAACATTTTCTCCTCATGTTAAGCCTGTCTTTGTGTGATAGTGTGAGTTAAGCATGTAACCTGTATGAAAAAGTATTTCTTGCGACTTACCATATCACGTTGAATTTCCAAGTAATCATCATTTCATCTATTTTTCTAACCCGTATAGAAGACAACTTACAATATTTAATTGCTGATGCACATTCTTTGCAGCGAAATCGTTACCCCATAGACCTCACGAGGCCATATACCATCGAGCGCGTATATTACTCTATAGGGGTGCTGAACGTAAATGGACAGATGACGAAAAAGAGAAGATTCGGCGGTACATAAATTCCTTTTCCCGAGACAAAATTATATTTGTTTGCATGACCATATTTACTCAATTATTTTACTATTAAGAAGTATTATAGTATCATATTATTGTTATCTAATGTGATTAAGTTGAACTTCATGTTTGCTGCTACTTTGTGGCATGTTTACAAATCTCTACTCCTATTGAAGATGTCCATGGTGATGGTGGTCCAATCACCTCCTTCTCCCTTCCTGATGTTTATGTGAGAAAATACGCAACATCCATTTCCATGAGGCCTTGATATATATATATATATATATATATATATGTATATATATATATATATATATAGGGAAAATGCATCCTACTACCGGGTGTAGTTACACCTATTTCTCATATACTACCCTGTGGTAGTATATATACTAATTTATCATTTTTAGTATGTTCATATACTATATCTAAGATACTCCAAAGCGAGTTATGTGAAAAAATTGCATGTGAGCTTATGTTTTTATCATATTTGTGAAATACGTACATATTTGTACGTAAAAAAGAGTATGCTCAAAATATAATACATACTACCTAAAAAGTAGTATATATACTATCAAAATATGTTTATATACTACATACTACACGTAGATATACTCCAATATGATAGATACTACCTAAAACGTATTAAACAAAAGTGGGAGTAACTACACCCGGTAGTAGGAAAAATTTGTCCTATATATATATATATACAGAAACCCCCCTATACAATGGGGGGTATTACATTACATGATATATATAAATCTACCCCCTCCCTCTTTTAAACTCATGTTGAATCAACAACACTGAGTTCGGAGAGATGGAAGCTGTGCCGTGCTTTAGTCTGGGTCTTGGTGAAGATATCCGCTAAGTACAACTCGGAAGGCACATACTCTAGAGCAATCATCTGATCCTGCACACGGGAGCGTAGGAAGGAAGCATCAACACCAATATGCTTCACAGGGTCACGACCAATACTGATAGCAGTCATAGCACTTGTACCATTGGACAAAAGAAGAGTCAGTGTAGTGACAAACACCAAAATCTTGAAGCAACCACCGTAGCCAAGTCACTTCTGCTAAAAAAAGAGCCATACCTTGTGACTTAGCCTCTGCACTCGAACGGGAAACTGCAATCTGTTTCTTTGTCTTCCAGGCAATGAAAGAACCACCAAGAAAAACATAGGAAGCAGAAAGCGGTCGATGATCCGAAGGATCGCTAGCCCAAGTAGTATTCAAATAGTCCTAAAGTTATAACAAACTGGATCGTGGAAAGAAAAGATGATGCGAGAGAGTCACACGAAGATATCGTAGAACTCGAAGTAGGTGACTGTAGTGAACCGACTCAGGATAAGAATTAGATGGGAGATATCCGGATGAGTGACGGTTTGGTAGACAATACTCCCAACAAGGTGACAATAGCGCGTCGGATCAGAAAGAAGCTCACCTCACCATCAGAAGCCCGGAGGTGGACGTTGAGCTCCAACAATGTGCTCATCAGCAAGAGCAGTTCAAGCAAGAAGATGTTGAATGTACTTCCATTGGGATTCCAAGAAGCCATTGGAGGTAGAAGAAACCTCAATCGTAAGGAAGTAGCATAGAGGACCAAGATCAGACATAAGAAACTGCTCACTAAGACGAGCCTTCACAAAGGCGATGCACTCAGAGTCATCATCGATGATTATATGTCGTCGATATATAGAAGAAGAGCCCGACCACAAGACGAAAGGTGGGCAAAGAGAGCGGGATCATGAGCACTCGGCGAAAAACCACTAACAGTGACCACTAAGGCTAAAACCCTTGAATCAGGCTGGAGGGGCTTGCTTAAGGTCATGAAGAGAGAGATGAAGACGACATAGCATGTTGTCAGGCATAATACCCATGCGGTGGCTGCATGTAGACCTCCTCATGCAACTCACCATTAAGGCATTATTGACAACACGCTAAGAGATTTCTGTAAAACCTGCCGTATCAAGAATGTGCTCCTGTCACTGATTAAGCATATGGGATTGCCACTTGTTATGAATCATACTGCACACTAGCCCCTGTGAGATCACTGGCGAATCATGAATGTAATTGTGTGGTGGAGCTGTTTGCGCTGCCGCGATTGTGTTACTATGATTTAAATTGCGTTGTAACTTGTGAAGCGATTAATATCTCTTTTATACGTAGCATACTTTCTTGATATTTGTTATTGAGAGATGCTTTGATTTGTCCTGTTGTTGCTTCACATAATTAAGATCAGATCACTGCATTATTGCGCAGGTTTGTCGAAATCAATGGAACGGATTGGAAGACATTGGCTCGGGAACTTGGAAAGAGTGAGATCCACGTAAAAGATACTTGGAGAAGAATGAAACCTAAGAACTTGAAAAAAGGTGCCTGTTGCTCCTGAAGTTTTATCATATTTTGGCTAAATTATTATCTGTCGGAGCTGTAATATTTCAGCGCAACTTCAACATGCAAATGCTTATTTACGCCATTTTTATTCTCCGAGCATTAGTTTTCTGACATCATTTTGTCACAAGTCAGGCATGTTTGTCATGTTAGCGATAGTAGTTTAATCCATCTTTGCATACTAGTGTTAATATTTGGTGCAGGTATGGCTCGTGCACATATTGGTTTGTACTAATAAAAAGTTGAAACAACACCATTGTTGAGTTGGGGGCTAATACAGTATGCTATCACAGTGTGTTTGTAGCATTGTTTTTAAAGCGTTGCTTAGGAGTCGCCTAAGCGCTGAGGCGCCCCAGGATGGTAAGGCATCCGTCCTGCCTTAGACATGAAACGTACGACTGCTTCAGTGAAGGGTCCACTGCTGTCAGAGGTATCTGCTACCGCCTGTTCCTCGCTGCATCATCCTTGTCGCTGCTTCTGGGGCTTGGAGACGACGGCCCCACCATCCCCCAACACTCCAGCGAGCATCCCTTCATTTGCCTGCTTCCACCATCGCCTTCCCTTGCCCGATCTACTCTGCTGTTGAGGAAGAAGGGATGCTGCAGTGAGGGAGAATCAGAGAAGGCCAGGGTCATGATCAGAAGGGAGGAGTTTTAGGTTGTGGTGAGGGAAAGAGAGCAGGTGTATGGTGGCTGTGGTGAGGGAGGAGGTAGTGAGGATTGTGGAATTAGGTCATGGCAGGAGTATATAGCTACTAGATGGGCTTTTGGGCCACATGGAAGTGCATAGGTCATGGCCGATCTCTCAGTCTTTCTTATGTTTCCTTGCAATATACGTGCTAAACTGCTTGATTGTTCTGTTCCTTCTATGTCTAAGGCGTTGCCTTGCCTCACTTACATGCTTCAAAGGTAAGGCGGGGGTTAGGCGCCTCGCCTTGCCTTACCGCCTTAGGAACAATGGTTTATAGATGATTATTTATCCGGTTTTAAGTTGTTGACTATCGGTTAAATGCAAAGTTCATCCATGGGATAAGTAGGGAGGATTGTACTGAACAAAATTCTGGGTATAGATTGAATGATCAAATTAGTAAAATTGAATGTCCTATACAGTGAATGCATTATCTCATCATTTGGTAAAATTGAATGTAGTATCATCATGTGATAAAACTTATGCATCCTAACCAGTTAATGCAGTATCATCACATGGTAAAAAATATGTATCCTACCCAGTTAATGCCGTATGTGATAAAATTTAGACCTTCTTGCTAACCTTTTCAGTTCTGTGTGCATTCTTTGACTGGTATTTTTTTCAGGACGTTGGACTCAGGATGAACACCAGAACTTGTTTGATTTGGTGAACCTTGACTTGCGTCTGAAAGCCCATCAAATAAAAAATCCTGATCATCGGATGGTTTGTAATTTACCAATGTTGTTGATATTGTGTATTTTGGTCCAGCTTTCCTGATTTGAACTGTGCTCACAGCTGTTCATATTGTTGAATCACATGATTGAACCTAATGAGGTGGCTTACTTATCATCTGTAACAGCTAAGAGATAACATTTCCTGGGAGGCCATCAGTGATAAATTGACCACCCGTAATCACAAGAATTGTTGCCTCAAGTGGTTAGTATTTCTGTTTGCTACCCATACATGTATAACTTTGTTTTCTCATTGAATTTGTACTAAATGCTATGTACATTGCAATCTTTAATGCATGTTCTTTTTTCCCATCTTCTCCTATTTATTGTTTCTATATCTGAATTGCTTTTGACATTTTCAGAGATAAAGTGCAGTGGTTGTTATTGAATTCCATCAGATTGATTTAAGTGCTTAACCGAGCATGCTTGAGTTTACTGGCTTGGAAAAGCTTATCATTAGCTTTTAGATTTTTGGGGTAACGCGATAGTGTGGGCTTGATTGAATAAACTAGTTCTAATCCTTCGTCCATACAACTAAAAAGTGTACTTTGTATTGCATCAGATCCGTTTATCTGAATTTATCCAACTTAGTAGACCTTGCAACTGGTTGGTTGTTAGCCATTCCACAAATACAAATTTTCTTGGAATTACAATAATTAGAGATGAAGAATCTTAGTTTGCTTAACCGGGCATGCTTGTATTTACAGAATTGAAATCTGTGTATTATTAGCTTTTCTACGTATGGGGATTGGGGTAATGCGATAATGTGGGCTTCATTGAATTTAACTAGTTTTAACACATCCTTCATACACCTAAATCTTGTGCTTCTATATGCGTATATGTATCTTCAGACTGGGTTACACGCAAGTTATGTAACGGCAGCATGACCATTAATTCATGATGCTCTTTCAGGTACGAAACATTAGCATCTCCGATGGTCAAGGAAGGAATCTGGTCTGATGTTGATGATTATCTACTGGTGGAAGCGTAAGATTCTACAGACTATTATAATGATTGCTTTTTTGCCATTAAAACACTGCACATTGTTTTGCAACAGAGTAAAAAAGAAATGTTTCTAAAGGTAGGGTTTAGCCTGCCTACGAAGATATTTTTTCAGCAATTCCTGAAGGTATTGACATGTGGTTGATGCCAATATTGCTGTGGGTGTGCATAGTACCATGAAGGCATGAACTTTAGCAGTAGGAATTTCAGTGATGAGGAAGGATGGAAACCAGGAATTTTTTCATTTTTGGTCATGTTGTCTGTTGCTTTTTACCTGGTCTTGTTGTCTATGGTGCTGTTGTTCAGGGTCACAACTCATGATGTAATGAGGAGGGA